ACTATAGTGAGACGCAATCCAGTGGTGCATCCTTGATAAACTGTCAGACGTGCACTGCTCTCTGGGGTTTTGTGCTCAAAGCCCCTTGCTCTGCTGATTGTGGAGCTCAGACGCGCACACACTGCAGCACATGACTTTGTGTGTGGTCATGTGATGTGCATTTTTAGTGGTATAGTGTGGAAGGAGAGCTTTTCAAAAATGTTAGATGAAACTCCAGTGTGGACGTGAATTATTTTCGTTCTAAAATGGCATTTTGGCAAAGACGTATTAGTGTAATAAATTAGTGTATAAACGGGGCCTAAGAGTGTATTTTTCGCAAGCAGGTTGCTTTTGTGATGAGAGCGGGGTGGAAGATTGCGATGCTGGCTCAGCATCGTGATGTCTATCGGCATTGTCTATCGACCCAACCCTTAATCAATGCATCTAAACAAGGCAAATCATGCAAAACTATAAACGACTTTCACATTTTTGGATTGGTGTCTTTTGCATGAAGAGGATCTATGGCCTCTAAAAGATTTAAACGTCTGACTTGATTTAATGAAGGTCAAATTATGATTCTAATGTTAGGTCATGGTAATGCTGTTGTTTGGTTATTAGCAGGAGTCAAAGTTCCCTATTCTGCTATTTTAAAGGTTCAATTATTTTGAACATCTCAGAGTAGATTTATATGCTAGATCTAAACACATTTATTTTCCTATAATATACAGTAATGAATGGTGATGATTCACTTCAAATAATAAATAAAGTTGTTCCAAAACTATTGAACAACAGCCAATCTTGAACAGCATTTTAGATTCACTTTGAATGTTGACTACTGTAGATTATGTCATGTTTACTTCTCAAGTCATTAAAAGCTAAGTGAAAGGAGTTATTTATTTAATATAAAAAAGTTGTAATTGCATAAAACTAAGCATAGAATAGGGTTAGAACAGTGACTGTTTGTGTCTAAAGGCATTTTCTGTGTGTGTATTTATTTACATTTCATTGTGTTCATGTATATGCAGCTCCTGTATTTCAGATGTTTTAACCAGGTTATACTGAGCCACCTTCAGATCTGCCTACATTCTTTATAGCACATGTAGTTTTGTATTTCACTTCTGATTGCATGTTTGAGCATGTGGCGTCTTCCTCAGCCACGTTTTTATATGTTGGTGATGCCTACTAGACATAGGCTACATACGGAAGAAAGGAAAGAAAACTATTTCCTGTGGCTTCTATTTTGAGGCTGACTGCAAGGACAGAAGCTCAAGAAACACTGCATTTTTTTTTCTATTTTTTTAAATTTGCTGCTCTTGCCTGTCATTTGCATCACTGAGCAAAAATTGTCTTAACAACAGGTTATGTAAAAGGGTTGCTGTCAAATGTAGATTTTAATATACCTGTCTGCAGTGAGATTTATTATGTCATCTTTTTGGTTTCAGAGTGATCTAATGCTTAAGGACTTTTCTTTGGACTGAAGGGGGGATTTTTAGGTATTGTCAAGGTTTCAAACCTACTTGTAGATTTTCCCCTTTTAAAAACAACACAAAATAAACAAAATCATCCAATTTAATTAGTTCAAAACCTTCAAATATTATTATTTATTATTATTTAATTATTTATTTATTTTTTATTTTTTTGCTGAACCTTGACGTAAGATCAAGATTACTTAAAGGAGGCTATTGAATGTTAGAGCGTGGGGGCAATAATGAACAAAAAGCCACCTTTGGTACTGTGTTGAAAACTATAGGAACTGACAAAAGTATAGACCGCTAAGAGAATGAATGAGAAGTAGGGCTAAATCTAACATTGTAATATTTTGTTATTCTGCGACATGAAAAAATAACGCTATTTTTAGATGACTTAAATAGGTATATTTTATCATTTGAGTTGATTGATTGGGATGATTCTGTAGGTTCATCTGCATAAAACCTAATAAACAATCTACAAGCATACATAATTACAATAAACAAAGATTAAAGTGAAATAAACAAAATTATTTTTTTCGAGCATTCTAACAGTATTTAGGCACAGTAATTGAATAGTCAAATGTAAAATAATCCTGCATATAGTCATTGTTGCATGAATAATTCAATAGATTTAATTGTTTTTAAGGTTACAAATGGTACAATTTATTACTGAATGTTGTTCAAATCCTCTTACCTCATATGTTATTTGCGTATGTTTGGTACCTCATACCAAACATATGCAAATGATCATTGAAATGATCATTAAAACTGAAAATTGCATATCCTATGATGTGACTATTGTAAAGAATCACGTTGCGATATCGATGCTGATATGATATATTGTGCAGCACTAATGCTTAAATATTAGTACCTTAAAATGAATGTATGATATAACCAGGGTATTATAGACCCTTAAAAAAGCCTTAAATATACTGAAATATAAAATGTTTGTACTGACTTGCAAAATACTTACAGACAAGACATCACATTTTGTAGAAACACCTACATAGTCAACTGCAAAAGCTAAATCTTATGGAAGTTGTATTTACATCCTCTTCCCTACTCGAGAGTGTTAATCACTCATATTTTTCTCTTGACATTTACAGTCCGCTCTATCCAGGGGACATATACATGTAGTCAGCAAGTCTGTTTTGTCCACAATCACATGATTGAGCTTTGTTGTAGCGTAATCCACATTCACTCCAACCCCGCGCAGATGAGTTGACCTGGCGTTTTTAGTTGGGACTGGGCAAGAGGGGTGGAGTAAGCAGCTTATTGACTCTCAGTGTTGAAATATGGGTCATTCACTGCCCATTGTAGATTAAAACCACACATCTTGTATACACCTTTTGTGTAAGCCATAACATTTTTGTTCACTCACTATCACTGTTTAATGATGGCGAGATTAATGTTAAGTCTTTGTAGTTATTATATCCAGGTCATCTTATTGTTGTCCCGAGCCTGAATGATTGAACTGAATTTATTGGAATGATTTTACAAGTGGATTACAAGGATAAAAGACTGTAAATCTCTGACAAATATGGCAGGCAAATTAAAAAACCACCGTAGTAAGCAGGAGAAAATGTGATCTTTGCCAGCTCATTTCACACGGATGGGCCCAGCTGTCGATGTTGACGACACTGCAATGTCGGATACTGTTCATAGTGTTCGTCCTAAAATACCCCAGCGCTCTGTCCCACGGACCCCAGTGAGAGTTCACTTATATCGAGATCATCCTTTGGGAATCCACAGAATTAAGTCAAATTCAATCTGATTTACAAAACCTCTTCAAGCCAAAGTCCTACGTCTTGTTTTCAGTCGGATTTTCCACATTTTTGTGAAGGGGAATTTTTAGTATCTGTTAGGAACACCTTCTGCTTCAGGATGCTCTTGGCAACATAAGACTCAAGCAGGATGTTTGCAGAGCGTAACTTTCATTATGACCAACTCATATCTGTGAATGGGTGGGATTGTTAAGCTATTGTTTAGGGATACTTTTCCTGAACAGAGGGCAGAGTTATCCAAATATTCCCAGTGTGGTACAATAAAATGATTGTGTGTCCCCTAAATGTTTAAGGTCATGTCATGGTGTGATTTATATACAGTAGACTACCATTCGGAAGTTTGAAGTCAGGAAGTCTGTAACGTAAGACTGCATCATTTTGATTCAAAATACATTATTTTGATCAGATTTTGAACTGATTTTAAAATGTAAATGTGATGCTGCGTTCACACCAAACGCGGAAGAAGCATCAAGCACGAGTGATTTACATGTTAAGTCAATGCAAAAGCACGAATAGACATCCTGCTGTGCGATACGCATGAATGAATCAGTGCCAGTTGAGCATTTTGCGCGAATTGAGACTTCAGCTGACATTCACGCTGCGTTAACCAATTGGGAGCTTTCTCTTGTTGGGGCATGCTTATGACATAGCGCCTGTTGTTGGTGTCCCGGTAGGAAATCCTACTGCCGACACCGGACAACAGTTGATCAAACTAGGCTCGACTCAGTCGGAAGCACTGCTGAAAGCTTCCATCATCCAGGTTAAGTTTCTGGAGGAGTTTATAAACTCACAGAGCTGGGTGCACCTCTGAAGGATCTAGCGGACTCAGCATGGCTCCAAACGTATCAATGCTGTTTTTACAGTCTTCATAAAGCACATAAACACAGTTATTCTCTCATTAAAATCCATGTTAGCCATTTAGAAATTAAGCTACAGTCACCAGGCAGTCAAAAGCCCTGCCCATGACACGATTCCGTAGCTATTGTAAAGTGGATTTGACATGCAAGTGAAGTGAGTAAACTCAAAATGTTTGCACGTCTATTACGCTATTTACTTTCCTTTTTTTAAAAAACATATTTGTTTTACTTGTTTGTTAATTAAATCCTATTTGCTATTTAACCTATTAACTTAATTTTATGCAACAGTCAAGTTGCATGTTAATTTGTTATGCGAAGAAAAGAGAATCATTTATTTTTGGCATTCTTTTTTTTTTTTTTTTTTTCCCAATATGTTTATTGATTTTCTTCCTTTTCACCCCATCATTTTTGGCATTCTGATTTATGTGAAATTGTAAATATAGGTCTACATAATCACCTTGCAATTTTAAAATTATTGAATATTATTTTTTTTGCTTTTAGTAGAATATTCTGTTCATAAGATCAGTTCTTTTTTTACAATAAATTTAGTTCTTTACTTTTATAAAATATAACATTTTAAAATATTTATATTTATCGGCTATAGTATATCGATAATCAGCCTTCAAATCTTATGAGTTATTGGTTATTAATATCGTCCAAAAAATTTATATCGGTGGGTCCCTAGTAAATGTGATTAATTCAGCATATTAACATGATCGCATTATCACTCAATGTATATGAATATATCTCACTTGTGCTGAATTGTTTTTTTTTCAGTGAAACAGGGCACTCAAAAATGATTATAAAAATAGAAAACTTCTACTGGAATGTCCAAAAATGAAACACGACATCCATTCCCCTTTTCCCTTGAGATTTAAATGCTTAACTCCTCTCTCCTTCTATATTTGCAGAACTTTCATTGGCCCAGAAGAAGTTTGCTCAGTGCCTGGGTGAGTTCAAATTCGAGTACATCGGCGATGCCAAAACTGACGACGAGAAGTGCATTGGTGAGTTCTTCTTTTTGCTCTTCTGCATGTATTTATTTATATGCATGCAAACATTTACTGTAAACACTTATCTGCTAGTATCATCTTAGTAACTGCTGTGAATCTATTTGTTTCAGTTTAGCAACTAACTAAGATGTGACACATTGAGAAATCTATCAGTTCTTTCTCATTGTGTGCGTATGTGTCATTTTAGATGAATCCTTGCAAGAGTTCTCCCTCTTTCTCCGTAACTTGGAAGAACAAAGAGACCTGATGGTAAGGACAACCAGTCGAGACTTGCTCTAAAAACTCTCTCTTATACGTTTCACTCAAATCCTTGCAGGCTAAAAGATATTTTTGGAACATGTCATCATGGGCATTTGCATGCCGAGAGACGCAAACTGCAATCAGCCTTATTTGCATCAGGACTTCAACACGCGCTGCAAAACAAATGCCATAAAGCAATGCCAGTCCTCTGTTTGTTCCTGCATGCTTTGAATCACAGTTTTGCCACAGGAAGTGAGTTTCTTTGCCATCAGTTATTTGTGTCCTCTCTCAGTGACTCTGTTATGCAAGACCGCTGCTTATGTTGAGTCATGACACCTCTGAACTACATTCACAAGAAACTGTGCCTTCCAATTCTCCTATCAACAATCCAATAGTATTTGTTTTAAGTCTGTATTTTAAAGGCCAATGTATAGTTAGTTGCTTTTAAAGTAATATATATTTTTTTAATATACTTCAGACATTTAACATTTAGAGCCCTTCATCTGGCACGAATATGTGTTTTCTGCATTCTTAAGGTACAAGAGAATGTGGGGTTGGCCACCTAGGTAGAAAGGGCTCATGTTGCATTTAGGTCATGTTAGTATTTATTTAGTATGCAGTATTAGAGAGCTAAAGGCCCTGCCCATGACTCAAAGTGCAACAGCTGACAGTTGTTTTGAGCTCATCCAGGAGCCCCACCCATTCATAACAGTGATGTTACGGCCCCTCGTCACACTGGAGGCATGTGTAGAAGAGGTGGAGCGAACAGGCCCTGACAGGGTCAGAGAGAGAGAGAGAGAGAGAGAGAGAGAGAGAGAGAGAGAGTGGTTGTAGAGCAGAGGTGCTCCTTTTCAAGTTTAATGAGCAATAACAGTCATGTGTTGTGTTTCTTATTACATTACATTTTAAGGTAAAGATTAGCTTTTATGATCAAATAAATGCAAATAAATGCTGTGTTTTCTAAAACCTTTATAAAATTAGTGTTTTTGATATCGTTCTAGATTTCTGAAATGCTTTTGAATCCCCAAAGCAAATATCTCTACCGTGACCTTGAAATAGATTTTTAAAAGTATTGAGAGTGGCTTCCAGAGACACATGAGACTTGCACAAGGGTATGTTTTCCAAATAACAAAATAACTTGCTAGTTAACTAAACATAACACAGTGCACTCAAAACTAGATACAGTGCTATTCACAAGCTATTGTACATGCGTTGTTTTAAGGCAATATTTTCAATTTATACTTCTCTGTTGAGTGTAAACAGTAGGTATGGCGTAACCTAAACATTGTCATCCACCCTATGCCATAACCTGATGCACAGCTCTTTACATCCACACCTGGTTACACAGATTTAGCTTCATTCATTTATTTTCTTTTCAGCTTCGTTTCTAATCTGGGGTCACCACAGCGGAATGATCCGCCAACTTATCCAGCATATGTTTTATGCAACGGATCTTGCAAAAAACAGAAATGTGCGCACATCTAGAAAATCTTGAAGGCAGGTGCACGATCAAAAAACAAACATAAGTGGCAAAAGATACAAAGTAAATCGGCACACTGCCACTTTAGCTCTCAAAAAAATTTTTTAATGTCAATATTAACAAAATCACAACGTTTCGACCGACATGGTCTTCATTCATGACCTGATGAAGACCATGTCGGTCGAAACGTTGTGATTTTGTTAATATTGACATTAAAATTTTTTTTGAGAGCTAAAGTGGCAGTGTGCCGATTTACTTTGTATCTTTTGCCACTTATGCAACGGATCTCCCTTCGACTGCAACCCATCAATAGGACATCCATACACACTCATTCACACACATTTACTATGGTCAATTTAGCTTACCCAATTCACCTATACCGCATGTCTTTGGACTTGTGGGGGAAACCGGAGCACCTGGAGGAAACCCACGCGAACACTGGGAGAACATGCAAACTCCAAACAAAAATGCCAACTGACCCAGTCGAGGCTCGAACCAGCAACCTTCTTGCTGTGAGGCGATTGTGCTACCCACTGCGCCACCGTGACACTTCAGATTTATCTACACATCTGTGATTTTGTTGGGTCAGTTGCATCGGATGCATTTCTGATGTAAACTCATTGATGTCTGACGCAAGCATTGGCGAAAATACTCAAACCCCACTACCAGCTGGTGTTTTGGAAGTGTTATTAAATGTAGGCGGAATGCAGAATTTTAAATTCTATGGATGTGGTTGGCTACATGTGTAGGCTGTGGTGTTCATTCAACATGATTGTTTATTTCAGTTCATGTTGGTTGAGATCCAAATAATGTTGATGTTAAATTATTCTACAAATTATTGCTGTATGAACTCTGGACCACTTCGCTGTTTTTGTTTTTCGTTTAGCTAATTATGCTAGGTTTCTTGTGTCACTTTGGGTTCCTCCATGAAACTTAAGAACACAAGTCAAAAAAAAAAAAAAAAAAACATTTAAAAAAAAAACCTCATGAAACTAGAGAACAATCAAATACTGCACGCTAATTCTGCTAACAAACTTAAATGTATGAAGATAAAGATTGCTAAAGTACATAGTACAAAATATAGAGACTACTTAATAAAAGCTTGCTTATTTAGCTCAAGAGGATGATTTAAAAGTGCACCTAGCAATTGTTAAATGCTACCACAGTGTTTTACTGAGTCCCAAAACACTTGCATAAAGAGGCATGTCTAGTAATAATAACATAATATCAGAAACATTGTAACGTTATCAGAGATATCAAGAATGGTTAAGTTGTTGTTGGCTAATGAGTATGTTTTGGTGCTTGCAAATGTCTACTTTGTTTTGTAAAATTCACTTGGTGCACCTTGAAGTCCATATTAAGATAACCCTGTAAAAAAGAAAATATGCTTCTAATGCCAGGTCTAGAGCTAAGAGTTTATAATGGCAAAAGTTCAAAGCATAATTGGCTAACAAGGCTTCTGGGAAACAGCACCTAAAGTGGGACATTTCCTATGTGGAATAAAAACATAAGCAATGAAATGACATATACAGTTTCATATTCCAGTTCATGTTGTCATGTCTTTAGAAGTAATTCATTTTTTCACTAAATGACAAAAACTAAATAAAAATCTTTTAGTGTTTAGTGTAATAATAAAATGGCACACATATTCGGTCACACTTTATTTTGATGGTCCATTTGTTGAATTTAAGTTACACTGCATCTACATGCCAACTAATTCTCATTAGATTACAAGTAGACTGTTAGGTTGGGGTTTGGGTTAGAGTAAGTTGACATGTACTTGTAAATTTTCTTTTACTCAGTTAAATGTCTGTTGAAGGAGCAGAATCAACAGATATTAAAAAGACTACTAATACTCAAATGGACCATCAAAATAAAGTGTTACCACATACAGTATTCAGCCAAATTGCTTAATGTTACTGTTGGCATAACTAGTATTGGTATATTTCCATTATACATCAGTTAGCTAGTAAAGTTGTAATATTAAAGCGGCTGATGAGTTATTTAATTTCCCCTTCCTCTTTTAGTGACATCTATTCTCTTCTCTGATGCATTTAGTTGTTTGAGGAAGGGACAACCTGTCACTGACATTAGATCAATGTTTAACAATAGAGTCAGGTGATAACTCAATGCAAATCATGATACCAGACTCGCATTAAGATGTTACTGCAATATTTGAAGAAAAAAAAGACACCAAATACAAAACGTAAAACATTAACAAATTTGCTGTTGATTTAAAATAGTAAATTTGGTATGGATTTATGTAATGAACTTCAAAGTGTTGAATACAAATATGAATACAAAGCTGAACTTAGATTCATATACTTCCTCTCTGTGACTGTTTACATATAAATAGGTAGTTAAATAAATAGGCAATTTTACAGGTAAAAGCGGGGTTGGCCAAACAGTCAAAATAACATTGAAAACAATTTATCAAAAGCTGTGACATCTTCATCGTAAAATCACATTTGTGTGATCAGTAGTCTTCAATTTAGTGATTTTAAATGATGTTTGTGCTTTTACTTTAAGTGACATTCCTGCATGCTTGCTTATCAGATGATTGATACAATAAGCCACACATTTTAAAGGGTTAGTGCATTCATAAAATGACTTCTCTTACCATTTACTCACTCCCAAATTTTTCTTGCACATTTGAACCAACCTGTTTGCTACAGAATGCGTGTGTGGCCTTGTTTACACTTTTACATTTTAGTTAAAAAATGCATAACTTTTGCTACAGTTATGCCTTTTTGTTCACACTAACCCGGAGTTTTTCAGCCCTGACAACTCAGCTTTTTGACAATCTTTTTGACAGACATTTGATTAAGGCTTTTTTAAGTGAACAAATTTTAGTCTGGCACACTCCCCTCAGACTTCACAAGATTGTGAAAACAAACTCCAGAGGACACGTCAGGTAAATCTTCTAAGGGAACAGTATACTTTAAAATGTCATTTACATCACCCTGGCTACTTTGTTTCACTATCTTAACAATAAAACGAAAATATGGTACAAGGCAGGGGTTCTCAACTGGTTTGGCCATGGGACCCACAATTTTACATGGTCATCAAGCCACGACCCAAATCTTTAGGAACTATAATATAATTTTAGGAATTATAATTCATTTGTATTTATTTATGAACAATTTACAAGTAGTAAAATCACCAATACTTACAAATAAACTAAACTTTATCTCTGTCATTTAACAAAATGCATCAAAATATAGTAATATTATAGAGTAAAAATGTCAAATATTGTAAACAGTGGTTAGGGTAAGGAAAGGTTCAGTTACTATTAACTAGTAACTAAACTGAACTGTTGATAAAACGTTAACACTGATCCTGTTGATCAGAACAAACCAGCAGATTAAAGTAAAATGATTTAAATAATCATAACCATTTTTATAATAATTGTGTGGGCTTTCTTGGCCTTTGCTACACGATGAGCACAGTAAGATGCCTGTACTTGAACATGAAGATGTTAGGCACTTTTGTGAGAGATCTAGTCGTCTTTGAAAATAGTCCACAGGTTTGTCCTTGCAACTGGGATGTCATATGTAGTGAGAGCACCTCAATACATATTACACACTGAGGTTTTAAGCCTCCAAACTTTACATATTCTGGATCATACTTTTTTTTTTTTGTATAATTTCTTTGCTGCTTTTTTCCATTACTTTCTTTGTCTTTCAATTGCAAGTTTCTTTCAATTATAAGGGTAATTGTGAAAGTTTAACTAGCAAAACTTGTAAACTTTGCTACACAAATATTTTTTAGGTAGTTTTATCTGATAATTAATATGTGATGACGTATGTATTTATATTCTCTTTATGAGTTCTTAAGATGTGCATTATTCGTGTATTATTCTCTTAAAATGTGCATTATTCATGCGTTAATCTCTTAAAATGTGCATTATTTGGTTTAATTAAATGTTACAGAAACCCCCAAGTACTTTTTTTTTGAGATTTTAACAAATTTGTGTGTGTTGAGCATCAGTTAATACAATGTTAGCACCTGGTAGCTTTAATTGTGTGGAAAACTGGATAATTTTGAGCTTTTGTCAGCTAATTTCATCTTCTGGGTTTAAAATGATTTTTGGGGCAGGATCAAAATTGTCGCTGTAGTGCAAAACTGTAATTGCAAAGATGACGTGTTGGATCTCATTATTATTCATAGCGGAGTTTTCTTATCCTATGAGAAGAGCCGGCTTCTTAATTATTTATGACTGTCAGGGCCGATACAGCAAAGCTGTTTGTGTGCAGCAAGCATTTTTGTCAGGAGAGCAGTACGAGTATGGTGGAGAATGTGGAGAATATGGTGGAGTTCGTTCACATTTAGACACATCGCAGTGCTGCTGTGTTCGACTAAATCCTCCAGATTACCAGCAGGGCTAATGGTTAAAAAAGGCAGGGCAAGAGACCTGCTGCACTGAGTCTGCATTCAGACCCGGGGATTGAGGGAGAAGTTCTCATTTATAGTGTTTATATAAACACGATTATCTTTATAATGATATAAATTGTGGTTGTGTGTATATGAAATTACAACTGTAGCAGGGCATTAAATTACGGTTTATTTCTTTGCATTTTAACTTTGTAAACTATAAAATCATGGTTTTGTGTTTTATTTTGTGAGCCAACTGACAACAGTTGTTAATCGCTCCCTGCCTTCTCCCCTGCTCTGCTGGCCACGCACACTCCTCCCTCTGAACGCGGAGCTCCGTGCCCATTATGATGCATTTTTTGAAAAAAATTCTCTATGCTCTTTGAGTTAATTGAAAGCCTTGTTGTGTTATCCAACTCATGCAGTGGGGAAGTTCTTACTGCATCAATGGTTGAATGCTGTCATATGAACAATATTAATGCAGTTTTGAAGAAATTTGTGGAGCTTTCGGCATTTACAGTTTCATTGCAGCTTTACTTATCATTGTGAATTCTCTTTTTACAGTATCAAATGACTAGAGGTAACCATATTGCTGGTGGATGACATTGTTTCAAACTGGAATTTACTATTTGTGCAAGTTATGAAAAAGAAATAATGAATTAATAATTATTACCAAATTGTGTTTCACAGATGAGAAACATCACAGAGACACTGATGAAGCCCTTAGAAAACTTTCGAAAAGAGCATCTTGGCTCAGCAAAGGTAAATTCGGTTTCAGATCATCTCTCATTATTTATTAAATATAGGATGTTTGCACTAGAGGAAGTGAAAACATATGTTTATATATGAAGAGTTCAGATGCAAAAACCTCTAAGTGTCATCTGAATTTTTTTTTCTAATATTAGCATATTTCTCAGGATCCTTTGTCTTGATTTAGTAATTTTACTTTTATGGTAAAGAATAGGTTATTTTCATCACTTTTAACATGAAATAACTGAACATAAACATAAGAGGCTGAATAAAATGCTCATTCTAGAAGAGAATTCCAGATGACACTTAGAGGTTTTTGCATCTGAACTCATCATATATACATAGTATATAGTTCCTTGTAAAAAAAAAAATATATATACATATACTCTTCTTGTTCCACGTATTCAAAATAGCAAGTTCCTCCATTTCATATTTTCTTTTGCTGTCTTCAGGCAGAGAGAAAGAAGTATGAGAAGGAAACAGAGAAGTACTACAGCTCCCTTGAGAAACTTTTGAACATGTCAGCGAAGAAGAAGGAGCCACAATTACAGGAGGTACTTCACATGTCATCCTTCCCACACACACACGATGGATGTGTAATGCAGACTATTTTCAGAAACAGTGGTTTTATCTGTATTTCTGTTAAAAGATTTAAAAACTTTAGGGCCAGTGGATTCTAATACTCAGTAGTGTTAACTGAAGCTTGTAGTAGATACCTTTCTTTCTTTCTTTCTTTCTTTCTTTCTTTCTTTCTTTCTTTCTTTCTTTCTTTCTTTCTTTCTTTCTTTCTTTCTTTCTTTCTTTTTTTCTTTTCTTCTTTCTTTCTTCCTTCCTTATTTCTTAACAAACTTTAGGACATTTTTGAGTGGACTCAACTTTCAACCCAATTACTCTTTCTTACTTTCTTTTCTTTGCTTTTTCCTGGTTTTTTCTTTTATTCATTTTTTTTCTTTTCTTGGCTTTCTTTTCTTCGATTTCTTTTCTTACTTCGCCTATTTCCTTCACTTGCATTTCTTTCTTTCTTTCTTTCTTTCTTTCTTTCTTTCTTTCTTTCTTTCTTTCTTTCTTTCTTTCTTTTCTTGTTTGCTTCTTTTTTCTTTGCTTTCCTTTAATTTTTCTCTTCCCTTCTCTAAAAAAGTTGACTCAACTTAAAATAAATTACTTTTTTTCCTTCTTTTCTTTGCTTTTTTCTTCTCTTCGCTTTTTTTTCTTCACTTTTTTCTTCACTTTCTTTCTTTCTTTTCTAAACTTTCTTTTCTTCACTTTATTTATTTTTAGCTTTTTTGTGTCTTTGCTTTCCTTCACTTGCATGCTTTTCTTTCTTTTCTTTGCTTTTTCTTTTCTTCGCTTTCTTTCTTTTTTCTTTGCTTTTTTCTTTTTATTTTCTTTTTTCTTTTCTTTCTTTTCTTTTTTTTAGCTTTTTTCTTTGCTTTCCTTCACTTGCATGCTTTTCTTTGCCTTTTCTTTCTTTTCTTTGCCTTTTCTTTCTTTTCTTTGCTATTCTCTGTTAAAAAAAAAGTTGACTCAACTTATTATTTTAGGGCAACACACTTCAGAATATTTTTAAATTGACTCAACTTTCAACCCAATTATTGCACTTGACTCAATTTGAGTTAACTGTTGCCTTGATTTTAAGTCGAGTTGACTTTTTTTTACAGCGTTCTCTCTGTCTTTAATTTTTGGTCTTTACTTTGCTTCTTTCTTTTCATTTCTTTCTTTCTTTCTTTCTTTCTTTCTTTTCATTGCTTTCTTGCTTTCTTTCCTTTCTACTATGCTTAAGAAGCAAGGCATTTTAACTAATGACTCTCAAGCATGGGAAAAGTAAAAGTGGGCATCATATTGCTCTGCTAAAGTCTTGACTGGGCAGTGTCTGAAGAACATGACCTTTTAAGGCATGCCCATCAAGCCTGTATGCTTGTATACATTGAGCATAAAAAGCATTGGAGACTGTTGATATATTTATAGTGGGCCATTATGTTCCTGTAGACCACTTGATGTATGTGTTTTGGTCTAGGGCAGTGGGATTTTTAAAGTCCTAGATGCCTAGAACAAAGGACAGCTGAGGTGACTGCTCTGTTGTTCTCTAACTCATGAGACACTTAAGTTATTATCGGCCGAGTACACAATGCCTTCAATTTAATGTGTTTAAGGAAGGATATTTTTGTCATTCTTTGTAATAAAGCACAACAAATTGTTCCATGTGTGTCACCAGATCACAACTTTTGGCTAATGCATTACACTTTCTTTAACATCCTGTAGCATGCACACAAAAACATTATATCTGTTGCTTGTTCGGACTACTTATTTAAAACGAGCTAAAACAACACAATTATTCAGTTTGGTTTAAGAAAACATAATTGTTTATGTTTGTGGCGAGGGGGCGTGGCCGAGAGCCGTGGGAACGGGGTGAGGCCACCGCGTGAGTGGATACACGTGCGGTGCGCACCTGCCTCGGATCCCACGGAAGGAGCTCTGGACCATAAAAGGAGGACCGATGGCAGAGGAAGCCGAGAGAGGACCGGGCCCGGGCATATTGTTTTACTTTTTGCTTTCAGTTTGACGGCAGTCTCCGCGAGGAGCTGCCGTCCGTTTGTTTTGATTTTAAATGGCAGTCTCCGTGAGGAGCTGCCCTCATTATTATTAATAAATCATTTTTAAACTCCGTCGGTTCTCCGCCTCCTTCTTCCCAGTGGCCAAAGGGCCGTAAACTTCATTACAGTGGTGCCGAAGCCCGGGAGAAGGAGGGACGCGTTGTCCAGATGCCCTCGCCGCTGAGAGAGGGGGCGAGTGTTCGGGAGTTAACCCGAGTGGGGGAGAAACCCGTTCGTCTGCCCAGAGTGCCGGGGCGGCCTGAGGCTGGCGAGGAAAGGATCTGCCTGCTGCCGTCTCCCAGCATGGGGAGGAGCAGGGGACGCGGGGCTCACCACCGGAAGGGAAAGAGCTGAAGGGAGCCATCCCACAGAACCCGGGGGAGTCGCCGCGATCCGCCATGATGCCAGAGCCTGCATCCGTCCACCGAAGCGGGAGCGGAGCAGGAGACCAGAAATGCCGCCAGCCAGCCAGGAGAACCGCCGCCGGACGCCAGAAGACGGACGGGTGGATAGATTCCTCCACAGGGCTCCCAGCACGTCGTCGCATCTCTCAGCTGGTGGAGGACCGAGTGGCAGCGTGTCTGGAGAACCGAACCCCAATTTTTTTATTTTTTTTTTTTCCTCTCTCCCCTTTCTCGTTCTACTCTGTCTTTCCTCCTTTTTTTTCCATCTCCTTTTCTCTCGGCCCGTCTCATATAGGTCTCGCGGGTGCTGTGGCGCCAAACCCCCCCCCCGGAGTATGCACAGCCACGGGGTGCCCCCGGCCTGTGATGGGAGATGGGGGTATGTGGCGAGGGGGCGTGGCCGAGAGCCGTGGGAACGGGGTGAGGCCACCGCGTGAGTGGATACACGTGCGGTGCGCACCTGCCTCGGATCCCACGGAAGGAGCTCTGGACCATAAAAGGAGGACCGATGGCAGAGGAAGCCGAGAGAGGACCGGGCCCGGGCATATTGTTTTACTTTTTGCTTTCAGTTTGACGGCAGACTCCGCGAGGAGCTGCCGTCCGTTTGTTTTGATTTTAAATGGCAGTCTCCGTGAGGAGCTGCCCTCATTATTATTAATAAATCATTTTTAAACTCCGTCGGTTCTCCGCCTCCTTCTTCCCGGCGGCCAAAGGGCCGTAAACTTCATTACAATGTTTAATATATTTAAACTGGTAACAAATAAGAAGTTAACGTAATTCCTTTATGTTGTCCTAACACAAATTCACAGTGTGGAACCCAGCATTTTTTATAGTGTAAATGTTTTGTATTTAACTTGATATATCAAATAAAATGTTTTATTTATTTATTTTATTTATTTATGTTTTTGTCACTTACATCTTGAGACCACTGCATTCAGCAACTGGCCAATTAAAGTTTGTTTAATGAATGTTAAGTATACAATCATTATCATTGAAGTACTATGGTAGTTTATCAGTAGTTTTTATTTTTTTCTTCTTAGATTTCAATTTTAGCTTTAGTTAAAGAGTTAGTTCACCCAAAAAATAAAGTCACCCACCCTCATACAGTATCATTCCAAACTCATCCGTGCACTGAATGAACCAGAATGTTTTCTGTTAATTTTAATATATATATTTTTCTTTTTTTTATTATTATTATTTTGAACAATCTGAAACCATAGCTCTCAGATTTTATATTAAAAAGTTTTTACATTTTTGTGTTAACTAACCCTTTAACGTTTTTATCATGTGTATTTTTTATACATAAATTAAACTTTTTATATTTTGAAGCAAGTTAAGTGACACTTTTGTATTTTTGTTGTATGACTGCTTACAAACCAACTCTTTTGAAAAGAAAGCTTATGAGTTTGCTGCTCTGATTGCGTTCTCCCTGCACAATTGCATGATACGTACATTAGCAGTTGTATCCAAATCATCATCACACTGTCGTACCCTAAATATTTTGTTGACAGAACGGTGTCTTCGTTGGCATGCAAAGGTTATTCTATAACAAATGCAAACATGGACAAGCTGCTGTACCACAAAGGTATTTTATTTTCAATAGCGTATCATTGTATAAATGCTCTATTTGTACTAATATATTATTTACTTTCTCAAGCAGATGTTCCATTAATAGAAAGTTATAGTAAAACTTATTTAACTAGACTATTACATACTCCGGATTGGGCTATCATTTTCAACCTGTCGTTTTTATACATCCTGACGTCTATTAGCTACGACATCACTTTTACAACATTTCTGTTGAACTTTTGACATAAAAAACAACTAAAACTAATATAACCAAAACTAAAAAATGCTTAATTTTTATCAACTGTGTTTTGTTAGGTTCTAGTACATTAATCAAGCTTTTCCATTTTGCTGTAAATTAAGTGACACTTAAGTGTATTAGCGTTCTGTGACTGCATGCAAACAGATTCTTTTGAGAAAAAAGCTTTTTAGTTTGCCTCTTTGATTGCATTCGCTGTGCACAATTAAACTGCATGCACATTCCCAGTTGTATCTAAACCATCATCACACATGTGCAGTCAAACACGGGCAAGCTGCTGTACCCCAAAGGTACAATATTTTCACAATACTTTTTTTAAAAGCGTACCATTGTATAAATGCTCTACTTGCACCAATATAGTATATTCTTTCTCAAGCAAAAATTTCCAGTAATAAAAAGGGATAGTGTTAAAAAAACTTATTTAACTGGACCATTACATACTCCGCATTGGGCCATCATTTTGTAACTTTTACATTTATCCTATCTTTTATTAGCAAATACCTAACATTTACACTATTACACCAAGTAGCTAACACTATTTTAACTGGGCAAGTTGTTGTTTCTGTATTTCAAAGAAGACAGAAAAAGAGAAAGGGAATATTAAATGAGAAAACAGTGGGTGTGGCTTGTTTTTGTTGAATAGATGTTGTAGAGTAGGCATTTCATTCAGAAAGATTGGGGAAAAAAAAAAAAAAAACAGACACCTTTATCTCACCATTTCGCTTTGCTGTCATGTCTCTGTCAAAACTGACAGTTGGGGTGTATGTTAACTACGCCCAATACCCTAAACAGATGCAATCTAAGAATTTAACTGAAAATAAACAAGTTGATTTTCATATTTTAGTTTTAGATTACTACATTTTTTATCTTAATGACATCAGCAGATAATTCACCACAAAACTAGCAAAAATCATTATGGTTAGTAATGTGTGCTTTAAGAGTTTTATTTCTGCATGTAAAGACACTTTAAACCTAATGTTTTTTTTAGTTATTGTTATATATATTCTTTAAAGTCCATATACTGTTGCTAACATTACTGTGATTTACTGTATTTGCACAACTAATTAACTATTTATCAATTAATTAACTATTTTACAGTAATTTCCTTTGTTGGTTACATTGTCATCACACTTTGCACAATTACTTCCATTTTCAGAAGATGGCCCTCTGTGTTTTAACCCAGGTTGACACAGAAAAAAGACAACTTTTGGAAAAACCCATTTGGCCATCAGCCTGCTTTAAGTCTTCCCCTTTTTTCCTTCAATCTTTAATCTGAACTGTAAAGCTTTTTTTGTCTTTGTCTGTCCATCATGTAGGCTGATGTGTCGGTGGAACTGATGCGACAGCACTTTCAGGAGACCTCTCTAGAGTATGTTTGCAAACTGCAGGAGATACAGGAGAGGAAGAAGTTTGAGTGTGTTGAACCTGTAAGTGCACGACCCATCATCCTCATGGTCATTGAACCTAATCGATTTCTTCATTGTTTGCTGATGGATTTAGCTGTAGGGGGAAAAACTCACACACATTTGATAAAATATACAGTTTAAGTCAGAATTATTAGTGCCCCATATATCATATATATATATATATATACACACACACACACACAAAATTTCTGTTTAATGGAAAGATTTTTTCAGCGGGTTTCTTAATTTCTAATAACTCATTTCTAATAACTGATTTCTTTTTTCTTTGCCTTGATGATAGTACGTATTATTTTACTAGATAATTTGCAAGATAATAATATTCAGCTTATATTGCAATTAAAAGGCTTAACTAAGTTAATTAGGCGTGTTAGAGTACTTGGGTAAATCATTGTATAACAGTGTTTTGTTCTGTAGACCATTGAAAAAATAAATTGCTTAAGGGGGCTAATAATACTGACCTTAAAATGGTTTAAAAAAAACAAAACTTCTTTTATTATAGCCGAAATTAAACAAATTAGATTTTCTCCAAATGAAAAATTCCTTGCTCTGTTAAACATCATTTGGAAAATATTTGAAAAAGAATAAAAAAAAGCTCAGGAGGGCAAATACTTTTGACTTCATCTGTACCTGCAATAATTTGAGGTAAATTTATAGTCCAAGAATAAATGTGAATTACATGTTATACATACACAATGTTATTATAACCATAACACTTGGTTACAAAGGTGTGTGTGTGTGTGTCCGTGCGTGCGTGCGTGCGTGCATGCAAGTGTGTGTGTGTGTGTGTGTGTGTGAGTGTGTAATTTTGACGTTACTAACGGCATCAAACAAAATGACAAAAATAAGGGCCAAGCTTGGATTGGCAAACTAGTAGGGTTGTCGCAATATCATTAATTAACCTTATGATGTTATACCAGCTGAAGGTATATATTTGCACCTCACTTCACCTAAGATTTATTAATTCTTTTTGTTTATTTTGTAGATAATTGACCAACACAAAATACATTAAAGTAAAGAGACAAATTATACAGAATGAAATTTGATACAAAGGAGCATTTTTCCAACAAAATTAGGCTATGTGAAGTGGTCAAAAAGTGTTTCAATGTTTCCTCTTACTATTTTTTGCCTTTGATTGTCAGATAACAGTCCAAAGTAATTCAAAGTTTCACTTTGTGATTCGTTCTTTTAAAGAGATTGTCACGATTGTAGTTACTAAATCATATTAAGAGGAACAGAACTGAAGTGTTAGAAAACGCGCAATAGGCTATAAAGGCGCATATTCTACAAAGTTTAGCAACCTTAAAGAGCTCCACAGACTATTAAAATCAAATGGTCTATTGTTGCACAAACCTGTGCATCATTATCTATTGTAGATAAACCATTAATAACGATACTACCGTTTACAAACTACAGAGACACCATCAGTATTTTGGAGACATAGTATCGCAAATTTACCACAGTACCAGTAAAAGGTGCAACCCCCTGCATTGTTGTATAAAATTTTTGGTATTTAGTACATATTGTACTGTATGTATGTAAAGTTTGGTTACAAAGAAATAAATTAACATCATTACAAATAAAAGTAACTTTTTAAATAAATAATTGTTTGTATTAGATGCAGATAAGTTATACCAAAGTAATATAGTTAACAAGGTCTACAAACCTGCTTGTGATAAGTATTTTTTTTTTTTCAAAACTAAATGCAATGACAATGTTGATTTCTTAGCTTTATTCCTTTTTTAGGAATCATTTTATGTTGATTACTTGTCAAATAACATTGTCTCAATATAATCAGTGTTGACACAATTTCGATGCTTAATTTCTGTGTAAAAAAAGTTCAAAAGGAAGAAATTACTCATACTAACCTTTCGCAATTATGTTAGAAATGGTTTTGTCACTTTTGATCAACTCAATGAATTTTTGCTTAAAAGATAAGAGTAATTGCATTTGGTACAATTGCATTGCACAAAACCCTCTTTTAAAAAAGGGTGTGTCTAAGCTATTTGCAAGCAGGTCTGTTTGGACAAGTATTCTTTCTAATTTACCCACAACGTCACATGGTTTGATGGATTGCATAAGCAAATTGGTTTCCTTTATGTGGAATCTTACTATTTTAGCAGAGCAAATATTTATTAGATTGCAGTTTATGGACACACACATTGTTTTCTTCTTTTATTGAATCTTTGACTTGATTTAGACACTAAGATTGATTGTTTTTTCATATGCATTTCGCCTTTACCCTTTCTGTGCAGATGCTGGCATTCTTTCAGACTGTATTTACCTTCTATCATCAGGGATACGAGTTGGCCAAAGACTTTGACCATTACAAAAAGGCACTCCAAATCAATATTCAAAATGTAAGTAAAAATGACTGTTTTACAAGGCAAAACAAACATTTCAATTGTTTTTTTTTTTATTATTTGCTCAAAATATATTATTAATATATACAATATATACATACATATTTTTACAACTACTTAATCAAAACAAATGCTGATTGATTTATCACCTTCATTCGGTTAACATTATTGGCTCACAGATTGACATGGTAAGAGAGTGGCGGAGACAGGATACAGCAGCATTTTGAGGGGGCCAAGGTTTCCAAGGGAAACTTTAAGGCCTTTGTTTGTATTGACCTTCCATTGTGTTTTACTTCTAAGCCGGAAGTTTGAAAGTCGACTTCCTCCCGCTGTCCTGTGTGATTGGACCACCTCGCTGTCCACATTGGTGCTTTTTGTTTTGTTTTAGATCAGCTATAAATCAGTTGTGATGGTCAGGGTCAGAGTTCTGATGATTTATAGTTTAAAAAGATGTACCTTAGATTAGCATCTTTGATGGGATTTCCAAGAAATTTCCAAGATGGGGATTTACACTGCGCACAATATATGATCCTGGACCACAAAACCAGTCTTATTTAGCACAGGTGTTTTTGGCAAGAGTCACAAATACATTAAAGATGTGTCAAAAATATTATTATTTTTTATTTAATTCCAAAAATCAGAAAAAAAAGGTAAAAATTATGTTCTATAAGTGTATTTTGTAATTTTCCTACTGTAAATATATGAAAACTCAGTTGTAAATCACTTAATATAGGTAAGTTAAAGGTTAATTTCTTAATATTTAGATTTTTTTAACCCTCAGAATCCAAAGTTTTTAAATGGTTCTTTCTCAGCTAATATAAACACGTACCGGCCATTTTATTAGGCACACCTTTCCAACTACTACTTAATGCAGATTTTCTAATCAGCCAGTTGGCAACTTAGTGCATTTAGTCATGTAGACATGGTCAAGATGATCTGCTGCAGCTCAAACTAAGCATCAGAATGGGGAAGAAAGGTGATTTAAGTGACTTTGAATATGACATGGTTGTTGGTGCAAGACGGGCTGATCTGAGTGTTTCAGAAACTGCTGATCTACTGGGATTTTCATGCACAACCATCTCTAGAATTAACAGAGAGCGGTCCAGAGGTCAGAGGAGAATGGCCAGACTTGTTCGAGCTTATAGAAAGGCAAAAGTAACTCAAATGACCACTCGTTACAGTCAGCTAAGAACAGAAAACTGAGGCTACAATTTGCACAGGCTCACCAAAATTGGCCAACAGAAGATTAGAAAAACATTGCCAGGTCTGAGCCTCGATTTCTGCTGCGACATTCGGAGTATTAGGTGTAATGATGTGAGGAATATTTTCTTGACACACTTTGGACCCATTAGTACCAATTGAGCAGCATGACAACAGCCTACCTGAGTATTGTTGCTGACCATTATCACTTAATGACCACAGTGTGCCCATCTTCTTAAGGCTACTTCTAGCAGGATAACACTCCATATCATAAAGCGCAAATCATCTCAGACTGGTTTCTTGAGCATGACAATTAGTGCACTGTACTCAAATGGCCTCCACAGTCACCAGAACTCAATTTAATAGAGAGCCTTTAGGATGTGGTGGAACAGGAAATTTCCATAATGGATGTGCAGCTGACAAATCTGCATTAACTGCGTGATGCTATCATGTCAATATGGACCAAAATCTATAAGGAATATTCCCAGTACTTTGTTGAATCTATACCATGAAGGATTAAGGCTGTTCTGAAGGCAAAAGTGGGTACTAGTAAGGTGTACCTAATAAAGTGGACGGTGAGTGTAGCTAATACATAATATAAATAATTCCATCTCAGATAAATAGTAACCCATATTAACAAATCAAACATCAATGAAAAGCATTTTTATTCAACTTTCAAGTGATGTATATATCTAAATGTAAAAAAATGGCCTGTTTTTGTGGTCCTGGTTTTATTAAATTCTCTGTTTAGCAAACCCTCACAGAATCTGTAAAGCTTTGTTCTCCTTTTATGTTATTTTATTTTGATGCATCTATTTGCAGACACGGAATCGTTTTGAGGGCACGCGCTCCGAGGTGTTCGAGTTAATGAAGAGAATCAAAGAGTCGCCACAGGATTATAGACAGACGAGCCCTATCAGCAGCGAGGGCTATCTTTATGTCCAGGAGAAACGTACGCTGGTTCACTTTCATGATAGGACTCTGTAGGAGGCCTATTACCTTCTGCTCACTTCTGCTGTCATATCTTAGCTACATTGTTGGTTTAATTCTTGCCATTTCTGCAGGACCTCCACCTTTCGGATCCAGCTGGGTGAAACGCTATTCCACATTTGTCAAAGAACAGAAGATTCTACATATGAAGACGTTTGACCAGAGATCAGGAGGGAAGCTTGTAAGGGATCATCACATTGCACGTTTTATAAAAATGTCAATTTATAGCTAATTCTTCATTCATGTTATTATTCTGCTTTATCTTTTTCAGGGTGAGACCGAGTCTGTTACACTTAAATCTTGTGTTCGCAAAACCACAGATGCTCTCGACAGACGGTTCTGCCTAGACATTGAGATCACAGATCGGTATGTTGGGTAGATGGTCAAGGGGATTCTGAGTTTCTGGATGAGCCTGTGTTATTCTGCCATTATTATTTTGGGTTAGCATACCTTGGAATGTCATGACTGACCAATCAGAATTGAGTATTTCAGACAGCCATTTAATAAATCATGATCATGAACATGCACAGTATTGATATCATTGGCGCTTCAACATTTTAAAAATATTCAGATTGTTGGATTAACAGTGGTTGTTCATCACAGCACCAAATGTTTGTTGACTTGATAGGTGATTTATTTTCAAGCATTAACATTTTCACTTTAATTTGGCATGCAACACTAAACATTCAATGGCTATTTACTGGCTTTTTGTTAATTTAATTGAAGTCAGTAGTAATGACTGCAATGCATAGTAAATATGCTCTTAGCAACTAAACCCTGATGAACTTTGTGCTATCAGTTGAAACTAAGGCTCTAAAAAAAGAGGTCCAAAAACATAGCTGAGCATGTGCGTCTCTCTTTATCTACATTTTGTTTTCTTAATTATTCTCAGTATTGCTTATTTTTCAAAATATTTAATGAAAGCGATGGCAGTCCATCCATTTCATGCGATGGATGGATAGATAGATGAATAGAAAGATAGATAGATAGATAGATAGAAAGATAGATAGATAGATAGAAAGAAAGAAAGAAAGAAAGAAAGAAAGAAAGAAAGAAAGAAAGAAAGAAAGAAAGAAAGAAAGAAAGAAAGAAACATCACAAGAACTTCATCATTGTTAAAAGCTATGAGCTTAACTTAATAAAAAAACAAGAAAGAAAAAATAACAGAACTGTAAATCCTTCTGTTGCTCCTGAGTTTGAGATGACTGAGATTCATTGGTTTCAAATGTGAGAGAATAAGGAAAATCTAAATATTGTGATCATCCAGGATACACAAGGAGTTCTCATTAATCAAAACTAAAGCTGACCCGGGCAGAGTGTATGATGAACGTTTATCATGTTCGTCTTGAGGCTGGTTAGTGGAATCTTTCGAGCATCACATCAGCACATCAGAATGTTTCCAAATTAGGAGGGGATTCATTCTCAATGAAAATATGCTTCTATGATCCAGCGTATTTTCAGGTAAAAAAAGATATGCAGGGTTCATGTCCTTTTTGAAATTGATTTGACAGGTTCATTTAACAGCAATCAAGTAATAAAAATAAAACCAAAACAAATAGGCATTTAAAAAAAAGGAATGTAATTTACCACAAAACCAGTAATCTACAAAAAAAAAAAAATAGTACTGTACAGTTTTTGCATTTTGTATTTTTAAATAATTTTGAGTGAGTGAATGAGTGTTATTTTTTTCTCCCCCTAGACCGGGCACAGTGCTGACAGTCCAGGCACTCTCAGAAGATGACCACAAATTCTGGATGCATGCGATGGGAGGAAAAGAACCAGTGCGTCTATTTTTATTGCAACAAAGTCAAATTTAACATATACATTCATTTAAAGCAATTTCCCAGGGTCTGTTCTTCATACGTCCATTACTCAATTATTTGGACTTGACGATTTGACATGATCCAGTATCGTTTTGTTCTTCAAAAGTCATCCAAGAGTTGTTTTCATTGCAACAACATGACAACAGCTCAGTCTAACCTGGTCTGGAGCAGCAGCTTATTTTATAAACAGGATTAGATCTGGTCATTTCAAGCAAAGGTAATACTGAAAGTATGTACCAAATGCTGATGGTTTCTTACAGTAGTAACCTATAGGTTATATACACATTTACTATGAATTGTATGTAATTTTGCTCACATGGATAATTGAATATTATTCAGATGATGTCATTACGCTGATGTGCTGTCAGCCAATCGTTGCATCTCAGATCAGTTCATCCAGACAGTTTAACCTGATGCACGAACTTGTTTGAAGAACCAAATTAGCCGGAGACCAGTAATCATGATTAAAAGATATAGGATCAGCCAAATCATCTTAGATCATTTAATCGAGGTAAGAAGAATGGACCCCTGGCCTGAATAATAGTTTAAACAAACTATTTTTACATTGTTATTTTTTAATTTGTTTATAAACAAATAAATAATCCCAAAAGCTGCAATTTATTTAGGTTATTTATTTATTTTTATGTTCATTATTGTTTATTTATATTATGCTCATTTACAACAGTTTTCTGGTCTGAATAATAGTTAACACTACCAATTTTTACATTGTTACAAAATACTCTTTTCTGTTCATCAAACATACATAAATGAATGAATGAATGAACGAATAAATAAATAAATAAGATAAAAATCTGCAATTTATGTAAGTTTTAAATTTATTTATTTTTACTTTTTTTATTTAACATAAATGTTCACTTAAAACAGTTTAGTGACCGGAATAATAGTTAACACAACCAATTTTTACATTGTAACAAAATACTCTTTTCTGTTCATCAAAACATAAATAAATAACCCACTGCATTTTCTTATGCTGAATGATTCATCACTCTCCGTATCCATCAACCAAAAAAGAACTCTGTCAGTAGTTTTGGCTGCTGCAAAAAGAAACTATCCTGAAACTATGGCTAAATCCATCTGCTCCAACTGATCTGCCCTGGAGGCTCTATCTACTGGATATTATTAGTCTGAAATACACCACAGCCAAAATAAATGGAGCCAGTAAAAAAAAAAAAAAACTGTACAGTTTTGGTCAAATATAAGAGGGACTGTATCATTTATGTTTCAAACTTGATTTTGTTCTTATTTTTTCAATATTGCTGTTTTTATTTTTATTTTACATATTTTGTTGGGTGGATCTCGGACTTTGTTCAAAATCAAAATGTTCAATAAAAAAAATAATAATAAATAAATAAATAGGCTCAAAAGCTGCAGTTTATTTAAATAAGTTTTTATTCATTTATTTTTCATTTATTTATTTATTTATTATTATTTTTATTTTTTTTACTTAACATATGCTTATTTAAAACAGTTTCCTGGCCTGACTAATAGTTAACACCACAAATCTTTACATTGTTACAAAATACTCTTCTATGCATTAATTAATTAAAAACCTCAAAAGCTGCAGTTTTTATTTATTTTTTACTTTTTACATTTTTATAAAGTATTCTTTTCTATTCATCAAATTATAAATAAATAAATACACATTAATTAATTACATTTAATTTTTTATTTTTTTCAGAATTACATTTTATTATTTTACAGTATGTTTGATGAATGCAGCCTGGTGAGCATTAAAGACTTAAAAAGACACACATAGTCCCTAGCATTTTCAACAGTAGTTAACTGTAACATGTTTAATGTTAAATAGTAGTCTCTTGTTTGGTTTATAAATTGTGCTCCGTTTGCTGTGGTGTTTCATGTGGGTCTGGTTTGTGTTTTCTGATGTTTATCTCTCTCATGCAGATGCAGTGTCTCAACCGGACACATTCAAGAGAAAGAGGAAGTAAGAGACCAAATTAACATCAAACTTCATAGTTTATGAGTAATGCTTATACGCATTCTAATGAAATATGTGTGTATTTCCGTAGTTGACGCACAGTTGGATGACGTGGGAATAAGCTTTGTGAAAAACTCAATAAATGCCATTGAAGCCAGAGGTAAGTCTTTGCTGTGAATATTAAATGTGAAAATAATATTTCAATTAAAGATAATAAACAGAAGCAAAATGTATCAGGCAGGATGTGTATTTTCTGTCAGCAAAGGAAGTCCCATTTGCACATGGTTTATTTAATGTAGTAACACCATGTTAACACTAGAGGGCAGAATTATCTAGCAGATTTTCTCAGCTAACGCTAAAAACATGTTGGGATTTGTTCAGGAGATATGTTGGTGCACTTCTGATTAGTTTGGTGCTTCAGCTGGAATGTGTGTGTGTATGTATTGCCAATCTAACACGGCAAAATAATGTGTTTGTTGTTACAGGTATTAATGATCAAGGTCTGTACAGAGTGGTCGGAGTCAGTTCAAAAGTACAGAAGCTTCTCAGTTTAATGATTGGTAAGTCGATCCTCATGTGGTTGCTTATAATTGTTGCTCAGATTTAGGTCATTTACTTTGAAAACTTGTCGAGTCTCATTGGCGTTCAGACATTCAGCTAGTCTGGTGTCTGTCCGAGTGTCCTTTTGTCCTGTCCTTTCCGTGACACCTGACTCCATTACAGCAGGCAGGCAATCAGATTTCCGGACTCTCTCTCTCTCTCTCTCTCTCTCTCTCTCTCTCTCTCTCTCTCTCTCTCTCTCTCTCTCTCACACACACACAATTCAATTCAAACTTGATGACAAATGTTGTGGCAAATCATTTGTAATGATTATATAAAATCGAACATATTACAATACATAACATAGTTGTAATGAAAAACTAATAATAATAATACTAATGAAATACAACAACAATACTACAACTACTTCTACTACTACTACTAATAATAGTATTAATACAATAATAAACACAACAACAACAATAATAATAATAAAAATAATAATAATAATAATAATAATAATACATATTTAACAATCAACATTCTAGGATTAATTTATAAAAATCTAGAAGTGTGGACATTTAAGTTTGTGTGTGTGTGTGTGTGTGTCTGTGAGCGAGTGGACATCACTGATGTTTTTATTGGCCTTTTTTCTGTTTTTGTGACACAACAATGATTTGTGGCACTAGTAGAATATCACACTGTTAACAAGGCAGTCTTCCAGACAATTTTTTCATGTTGTTCCAACTCAAATTAAGTTAATTAGTTTTGAGAATATTAAGTGTATTGAACAATGAACAATTAAGAACAGCAACGGTTTACATTAGTAGTTAACTCTTTATCTACTAAGCATTAACTTGACTAGACGTTAGTAAGCAGTTTATAAACACAGCTACAAATACTGCACTGTAAAACCCAAAAAGTTGAGGTAACCCAGACCATTTTAGGTCATTTAAGTCTAAAAACTAATCCTAATGAGTAATGTGAACTTAATACATTTGAGTAAAAGAAGCAATTTGAGCACAGTAAAACCCTATAACTGAGGAGAACTCAAACCAACTGATTGCTGTAAAACTCAATAAGTTAAGGCAACTAAAAACGTTTGAGGAAACCGATTGCTACAAACCATTTGAGTTAAAAAAAAAAAAAAAAAACTAATCTGTATGAATACTGTGAATTTATTCCATTTAAGTTGAAGTAATGAGGTAATTAACTCATTATCTTCAACAATGAGTTCAAAACTCGGGTTAAAAAAGGGACTAAGCCAAGAATAAAATGAATGAATGAATGAATGAATGAATGAATGAATGATAATAAAAAATGGTAAGTAAATGTTGACATAATTTTGCGGTGAACTATCCCTTTAAATTTGTACAATTAGGAATTCGCTGTTTTATTAATCACACCCTTCCTAGATAAAAAGATGAAAATTATTGTTTCCTGCATTAGAACATTTTTAAACCATTTTTGTCCACTTTGAGATTCACAAAAAAAGAAAATTCAGGGTTTATATATTTAACACAATCAAAATCTTCTAACTTAATATGTTATTGCAAGTTGCTATAATGCTTACTAAAATCATTAAATTTATAAACTTGAATCTCTTCATTGCCAAGGAAATTTCATATTAAAGAGGTGGTCCAGAGTGTATTTTAAGGCTTATTTATGTTAAGAAATAAAGATACAAGATGCAAGATCCAAAAGATACAAGATGCATAAGATGCAAAGAAATGTGTGCTCATTCTTCAGTTGTAAAAAAAAAATTAAATAAATAAAATCACATATTTTTTTCTTTAAGCTTACTTTTATTATTTACCATTCTGAAGTTAGGACTATTTATGCTTTATGAATCCCTTATAAATGACAATTAAAGGCTTTATGACTTTATTAAATGACTTTATTCATTTCTATTCATTTGAAGATACACAAATGAAACCGTATTAAATGAAAAATAAATCTTTGCAATCTTACTAAAAATACAGTTGCTGTGCCGTTTAAACATCGCTAAATAACTTTGAAATGTTGTATCAGAATATATTGGTAAATTAATATATTGTTTAAGATTGCAAACATTTATAGTTCATTTGATACTGAGCTTTTAAAGTGATTTACAAAGCATAAACATTCCACACTTTAGGTCACAAAGCTGCATGAAGTTAAGTTAATAAAGCTTTTTTTAACATACAAAGTAATCATAACTGTATGCCAGATTAATAAGATATATAAATGTTGACTTGAATAGTTTTTTTAATCATTTACAAACTCATTATGAATGATTCTAAAAGCCACCAACCACTTTTAAATACAAATGGTTTGTAAATAATGCAATACGGAATTTAGTAATAAACAATTAAATAGTAAAAAACTATAAAAATACAATAATTAAACATATAAATATGCTTATAAGTCAGGAATACAGCATTTGTATTTGTGTTTATAAACTGCTAACATCTTTTAATGTAGAGTTAATGCTTAACAGATAATGAATTAACTACTTGCTAATGCTTAATAGACGATTCATAGTGTTACCATAATTTTATTTTTAGTACATTTAGAATGAAAATAAATGAAACAAATGAAAAATAGGTATTTTAAAACCTTTCTTTCTTCCTATCTCTCTCTCTCTTTCATACTGTCACATTTCCATAATCCTATTTCACCTCCCCCAAAAACCCAACACACTCTGATCACCATCTCTCACACTATCATCATCATCATCATCTCATCTCTCTCTCTTACCAAGAGTTCTGTCCCATGCTTCTTTTGCTCTTTCTGTCGTTCTTTCTCGCTTTCACAACTACTTTCGCTCTCTCTCTCTCCTGCAGTCTTAGCATGAGCTGGTGTCTCTCTGCTCTGAATGCTAAACGCTGTGTCGAGTCGGCAGGCTGCCTGAGCCCCTGCTGCTACATGAACTCAGCCACTCCAGAGTCTAATAGCCATTAACACTCTATACGGGTCCACTGTCCTCATCTGAGAACAGCCTGCCTTACCATCCTCAAACCTGCCAAACCTCCAGAGCAGAACTCCATCTCATTTTCAAATTCAGACCACTGTCGTTCACATCCAGGCATTCTGTTCATTTCAAGGGATAGTTTGCACCAATATGTAACTGCTGTAATCATTTATTCACCCTTGTTTATTCCAGAATTCTTGATACATTTCTTTGTAGATATTAATAATAATAATAATAATAATCTTCAAATTTGTACCATTGAGTTTTGTATTATTGTTTTTTACTCCCTCCAAATTGAAAATAAATGTTTTCTGCAGTAGAACATTAATCTAAAATTTTAAGCCATTTTTGGACCTTAATGGCTAAAAGCACTTTGATAGTTACAAAAGAAGAAAATTAAGCGTTTATATATTTAACCCAATCAAAATCTTACAACTAAATATGTTATTTTGACTTGCTATAATGCTAATTAAAATCAATATATTTATAAACTTCTATCACATTATTGCCAAGGAAATGTCATATTAAAGGGGTGGTTCAGAATGTATTTTTAAAGCTTGGTAGGTGTTTATAAGATGCAATGTGTGGTCATGCTTAACCTGTAGAAAATCATGTTACTTTTTCACATATCTTACTTTGATTATATACAGCTACACCAGCATATTTCCTAGTTCGTCTGAAGGCCCGCCCTAAAGAAACTCTGATTTGTCAGCTATCATAATGTGCTATGAATTGTGGACTGGCTCAGGATCACCAGAAAAAGCGTCATGCCCCTACAAGCACGCGCTTTGCCTCTGCCCTGTATATAGTCAGTGTAGCTGTATCAGTTTGACCCTAAATTATACAGAAAAGGAAGAGGACACCGCTGAACCTCATGACTGCTCTCTAAAATTAAATCTGAACAGCGTGTTTCATATATATTTAAAATAAACATGTGTAAGCTTCTTCTATGGTTGCAGCTGAAACATCTTCCCTGTGGAGTTTTTAGCCGAATCCAGCACTGAACAGGGAGAGATTCTGGAAGCTGTCCTTTGTCAAATGCTGGAGTTTTATATATATATAT